TTCTCTTCGATACAAACAGCATGGCCAGAGGTGCACAGCAGCTCTTCCATCCAGACAGGAGCACAGAGAAGATGCACAACCTCCTGCCTGTGTGCTATTCAATAGAGACATGAATTTCTTAGGGTAACCTGTGCAACCTCTGGCGATGGCTCCAAACCTGGACTGCTTAAAAAAGGCCATTTAAACACAGAAATTTGTCTTAGCTTCAAGGGCTAGTCCCATTTTTATAGCCGGCATACAAGCTCAAATATTTCCCAGTGTTTTAAGTATCTCACAGTCTTTTCTGCAAGCAAGGCAGTGAACCTATTCTTGTGCCTCATTTCACTTGCTTCCTCACTGTTAGGGAACCACAATCTTAAGAGAAGAAAAGCTTAGTTGTATAGACTATATAGTATGAAAGGATTTTAACTCTTTTGTTGGTTTTTTTTAATGTTCTACACATTGTAATGCAGTGTTTTAATTTGCTGCCTTTTTGAAACCTGAAATATGATGTAAATTCACTTTTCCTTTTCCTTTTCTCCCTGTGTTTCATACTGACTCTGAAAGTGTATTACTATTTTAACCTAACCATTTTCTTACCTGTAGAAGAAGGTAATATTAAGTGAGTTTTGAGACAATGTATATGACTAGGAGGTTTAAAATATGAAGCATATACTAGAGTCTTAAAAGACTTGTTGGGTTTCTTTTCCCTTTAAGAAAATTCAGGCATTGATCTTTTCAGTGCTTAAGCTGATCTGTCTGCTGCTCCATGGAACTGGATTGTGCTTGCCCAATTGTCTGCATAGTTAAAATATTTTGAACATAGCCTATTTTAATGTAACTTCTTTTGAAATATCTGCCTAATGGAGAAGTCTTAATGGAATACTTTAATAGCCCAGAGTGGTTACCTGCAATTGCTCCAGTGTATTTCAGTCAATTACAAAGGAAGGCAATATTTAATGTTGGAGTGAAGCTAGATGGTGTAATGAACTGGCAGATTGCCAACTTGATCTTCTCCACAGGAGAATTTGTATTAATGTGATGCTTTTCATTTGTTCTCCAGAAGGTCACCAGTAATATGTCAATTGGAGTTAAAATTCCCACTCTGTGCAGTACAGGTTTATGGTCAGATCATTCTTGTGTATTAGCATATTAAGTATCAAAGAGATTATTTTAGCTATTTCATGTCAGAATTTAAATAGGAGGTGGTTGGGTATTGGGAAGAGAGCCTAAGAGAATTGTCATGGAAATTGTTGCTGTAAGGCTGAATCTGGATTTTAGCCATGGAGATAAAGAAAATGGGGCACATTAGAGCTATTAGTGAAAGAAGAGGTGGTTAATAACTGTGGATGCTTCTTATAATGTAATCATTATAAGGCCACTAATTTATTCTGTGAAGTAGTAACCTTTATAATAATGTTCCTATATTAGATGTTATTGATATTTACCTTCTGGTAGTCGTTTGCAAGCATCAAGTTCAAAATTTTATTTCTGACTATTGACAGAGGCTTTTTACTGTGAAACTTTTATAGTCCTTGTGTTTGGAAGAACTTGATTTAGAAAGCAAATGAGTGACTAAAGTTACTGTTGAAGACTAGATAAATTTGCCTTTTTGCTTTGTGTGTTTGTAATCCCATGTTCATCCAATTCCTATACTCTGCCATTCCTATTCCTTGCCATAGTCTTCTGTTCTTCTGCTCTGGGCCTCAAGGGAAGTGTAGAGTATAGGGAGACTCGTGAGTGCTAAGGAGCTGTGGCATTTCACATGTGGCTGGGCTGACATTACTCCAGTTGTAGATGCATTGAGTTAGGTGTGGCAAATAGACATGGTGCTAAATGGTCCAGAAGTGATGGGCACTGGGGGTACCATGAAAGAAAACTGCCCACCTCTGTGCCTCCATTTGCTTTGCTGACTTCCAAAAAAAGTTCTTGATTTCCTGAGTTTCCAATGTTGCACCAGTTTGTCTTTTAGGTGACCTAAGTCCTGTGTGCTGCAAGGCTTTTGAAGGTGATTCAAAATAATTTTGTACTCCCAAAATTTTACAATTCATTCCCCAGAATGTCTGTGCTATCAAATATTTCTTTCTAGTCCTGGCTGTAGGACATAGCAGGAGAGTCAGAAACTTCATGTGTGATGCAAACTCTGCCAGGGGCAGGTAGTCCCAAACCCTAACTGCTGTTATAATTTTTTGACCCTTGAGAAGAAAGGTCCTGAACTTCTGTACCTGAGGATTGTTTCAAGGAACACGTTCTAAAGGAATATTTTAAATATAATTGAAATATTTGAGGTCTGGGTTTCCACCCTGAGTTTGTGTCACTTGGCAAATCACAGCGTTTTGGGCAAAGCTTTGGACTGTGGGGGTGTGTGATGGAAATTGACTTCTCCTCTGGGAAGTGACTGTTAGTGTGAGTCGTAGCAGAAAACTTCCTCTGGCTCTTCCAAAGCCAAATGAAGATTTTTATCATGAGAAAAATAGAAAATTGGGTCACAATGCAGCAGGATTGAACCCAAGGAGGACAGAGACCAGTCTGCATTTTGAGCTTGTGTGTCTGTTAGGTTAACAGAGATTTATTTCAATCTGAGCGTTGTTAGGAGTGCTGGTTTTTTGTGCATCTTCTTCCTTTGACTATTTGCATTATCAACATTAACATTCCAAACTACTTTCAATGTGTTTTAATTGAGCTGCCAAAATAAAAGCATTCTCACTCTACAGAAGGAAGTTAGCATTGTTATGTTGAGATAAACATGACTCATTCTTTTCTTACGTGTTCAGATGAAATTTGGACTCTTTTTTTTCCCCCCCCAACTGTACTTCTCTATGTGACTAATAAATACAGGGCTTGTTTTTCAGGTATTGATGATGAATAGTGCTGTTTTCCATCTCACTTTCAAACATATGTTCTATTTACAAGTGTGCATTTGTGAAGGTGGAAGCAATAATTAATGGAAGCATTGTGTTTTTCTTTAAGGAAAACAAAAATGCCCTAGCAAACTCAGAGGTTTGGTACAGCACTTCAGTGATAGATTGTAATGAGCAGTAGATGATTTGTGAGGTAGGACAAGGAAAGATAGATAGTACTATTTAGAAGATCTTGTACCAAAAAAATGAGGAGATTTTTATTTTCTCTTTTTTACCTCTTAATATTAAAAATAGCCTTTTATTATTGACAGGAGAAAAACACGTACTACAAAACATTCAGCCAGCAGGAAAGTTTATCTGCTCTGCCTTGGGGTTTTAATGTTGCTTCATTTATTAAAGCCTCTCTCCCATTAACTTGATATCTGTCCTGCAATTTCAATAGAGCAGTTTTCAGTGGGAACACAGTTAAGATCTCTAATTGGTTAGAAAAATTGATACAGCAAAATGTTGTTGCCTGTGGTCTGAGTCTGCAGAGCACTGAAAACCCAGGTGGGACAACAGCTATTCCAGCCACCACCTGGAAGAGGAGAAGGGATTGGTCACCCTTGAGTCTGCTTTCTGCTCTCACAGGCAAATCTTCATTCAGGTGGTGAATTGGATCAGGAGGCTCTTCTTTTGGAATAACATTTTCTCATCATTTGCTATCCTCCGTTATTAATTTATTTTTTTTTAATCTTGTGTGCTTTTCAGGAGGGCTGGCAACAGTTTGTCTTCCCTTACACTTGCTGGGGACCACGGGGTGACCTTCCAGGAGCTGAGGGTCAGGGAGTCTCATGTGCTTTACCCCCTAACAATATGTTTAGGTTTAAATGTTTGTCAAACTGTGACTTTAGTAGTTCTCTTACTCCATCTATTAATGAATGGGAGAGTAAATCTCACTTTGAAACATTTGGGTAAGGTATTTATAATACCTTTGTCAATACTTCTTATTCTCCCCTCCCTTCATTGTTGTGCATGGGATCACTGGGTGAATTGCTCCTTTGAAGTTAATTTCTTCATAGGAGGCTTTTGTAGAGTCACAACTGCTTGGAATCTGTTCAGAAAAGACTTTGAAGAGAAACATTTGTGCAGGAGTGGTCTGGGGTTGTGTAGGGGTTTTAACACACCATCCTTATGAGATAGAGGCTGCAGCACAAGAAGTTGTTGAGAATTTTTTTCTTCTTTTTGAATTGGATCTTAAGGGTTGACACAGCCTGAATTTGTCAGACATCCTTTGGAGTTAGAAGGGTCATTAAAAACAGAAACAAGTGTTTAAATACTTTGACCTCTCTTCTGAACAGTTACTTTTGTGGCTAGAAATACTTAACAGAACAGTGGAGGCCAGAAGGGATCTCTGGACAAGCCATGCACGTCAAGGCTGAGGCTGCACCTTGGGGCCATATTCAGTAGAATTTGAGACTCTCCCAGGAAGAAGGCCCATCACTTCACAGGGTATATGTGGCTGTGCTTGGCCACCCTTTTGCCTTACATCCAGCCAGAATTTCCCTGAATGTGGTTCTGTGACCCTTTGACAAGCTTCACCACTGCTTTCGGAGCTCTCTCGTTGGGTCACCATCTCTTGTGCCAGGCTTCAAGCCACATGTGGTGGTAGTAATCCAACTGAATGACACATCTCTGTATGTGTGAGGACCTTCTGGATGAAAATACTTCACTGCCCCACAAAACTCCTGGCTATGCTTTTGTTGCTGTACCTCTTTTCCACATGTAGAGACATTTTCTTTTTCTTAGAAAGTACAGTCAAGGTAAACTGACTAATACAAAAGTGAAGGAAACAGTAAATAATGGTGCTTTGTAAAATATAGTCTTTCTAAATCTAGGCTGAATTTTAAATTCCATTTCTTGATTTATTTTTCTCTGTATTATGAAGGCTTAACTTGTACATAGTTTGGATTGTTTGGGGTTAAAATCGGCTTGTATTCATTGAGAGAAGTTAAATATGAAGATGGGGTCTGTTTATGCTAAACATGTGGATCAATTTCAAGCCATTCTGCCTGCTCTTCAGCATCTCATAGGAGGTTTTGACAGCCTGAAAGCTAAATTACCTATTTGGAAATGTTCTAAGTTTAGTGCTAGAACTAAAATATATGTTTGTTGTTTCAGGCGGTGGTGTATAGAATTTTGTTGGAGAGTCCTGCCTTTCACTGCCTGGATCCTTTTAACAGTGTGTCAAAGGTGAGTGGTTCAAGTTTGGTGGTTGTTTTCATAACTTAAGATAACAAGTGAACTGGATGCATTGCTTGGTTTTGGCTTTTATGTAATAACAGTGTAGTTGTGATATTTTTTAATTTTTAAACTGCTGGATGAATTATTAAATAGCCTGTCTTTTTCTGTCTATGATCTGGGGCAGATTGGTTCTAGTTCTTACATTCAGAAAAAAAAATCCAAGAAAAAGTGATAGGTTCAGACTATTAATTGAGAACTCAATATTGCTTCCACTGTTTTATTTTTATGACTGCTGTCTCCTGCTACCTGCTGTTTTGACTTGGGATGTTTTCCCCTGAAGGTGCTGCCTGAAAGCCCAACATGATGGTCTGGGAAGTATGGAGGAGAAGTATCCATAAACCATGGCAGGGCAGGCTTCGTGTTATTCTTTGGTTGAATTCTAAAAACTAAGTAATAGCTTTGAAAGTGTTGAAAGTATTGGGTGTAAAGAAGGTTTTTGTGTTTTCTGTGAGAGCAGAAGAGAATTGCATTTAGTGTATAGAGAGCATCTTGACTCTGAAGACCTGAAATAATCTAATGAAGCTGATGTTGCTGTAGAACATCTTTTTGTGGTAGAGTTTGGCTAGCTTTTTTCTTTTAATTTGTGCACCCTATTGTCAGTTTCTAGTAGCTGTAGTTGGTCTCTGTGGCTTAGTAGGAATTTATTAACATACTGCTATACCAAAAAATAGAAGCAAAATGGCAGAACACTGAATAAGCATTTGGCATTGTAGTAGCGCAGCATGGAATCTTGGCTTTATTCAGTAGTTTACCATGTGGATTTCTTACTTCTTACTCAAATTCTCTGTTGAAAAAATTGTTGCTTTCTTCAGAGGGAAGTTATGAAGTCCAGTTATTGACATTTTGGAACCTTCAAATGGAAAGCAATAAATTAAGTTGTTGTGTGCCTTGATATTTGCTGTGAGTTCTATTAAATACTTAATTTATTGTTATGAGACATTGAATTTAGATTTATTTATTCAATAAAATGAAGGTGAACCACTTAGAATTAAAAATGCAATCCAGTCTTAACTATAATGTCTCCATGTACTTTTGCAAATGATTGATTTTCCTTTAAACTGAAAAGGAAATTCTGAAGTAATACTGAGATAGTGGGCTTTTGTACTATATTTTCAAATTATCTGACATATGTCTTTAAATGTACTGGAAAAAATTTGCAACCCTGGCCTTTCTAACAAATCACTGTAACCTTGAACACTTAGGTGTTTAAAGACTGATAGTGAGAACCTTTTGAATTAATTTTCTCTAATAATTTTTCTATGATGTATAAGTAGCAAAGTCAAAATATTCTTGAAAGAACTGTAAATGTGAAAACAAAATAAATACACAATCCTAAAGCAAATGATTAATCAAGCTTTTGACTTAGTCATTGTAAAATTATTTTTCTGCAATAATTTCTTTTCAAAGTTAAGCCAATATGTTATTGGCTATGGACTAAATTATGTATTTATTTCAAATGTGTAATATAAACCACAGAGTTTTATCTTTGGAATCTCTTACTTGTCCTTTTCTATAATAGTTTTAAGTTAAATATTCAGTGAAAATAATTTTAAAAATAGTCCACTGCTCACTTAAAGGAAATAGGTGTCTGAAGTCCTGGTTATGTACTTAGTCATCTTTATTTCTTGAGCTAGTTGCTGTGATATAGAGCATATTGAGCAATTTTTCTTTTACTCTTTAATCCAGTAAATGTGAAGGGTAACTAAACATGCCCAAAGTGGAGTTCTTTATATCAAGTGAAGGTTTTATGTATTTTGTCAAGAGGCAGTAAATAGATAACAGCTCACTGAAAGGAGTTGAGGAAGAACTACCTGGACATGTCGTTTGGTGGGGTGTGCAAGGAGTGTCTCTCCTTTTGTATCTTTTTTTTTCTCCTTTTTTATTGAAGAATGAGTACCCAGGATATTCACTGTGTATGATTGGACCACACTCAATTTCAGTAACAGAATTAAATCTAACCATATTAATATTTTGTGCCTTTTTCCATTATTTGTGTGCTTGTTTCTGCTGGACTTTATTCAGCTTGGTAAATATGTGAATCTGCAAAACCTGGAGCATTCTAATGTAGTTCCCAAAGGGAAATGAAGGTGTAGGTCTAAGTTCAGTAAAGCCTACTTTTGTAATGCTTTGTTGAACCAGGATATAGTAAACCTTTTGCCCTTTGAAAAGGAAATGAAATTGGCAACAAAGTAAATTTTCAGAAATTACACTCCAAGTGCTTAAACTTCACCAAACTGCAGGCAATCATGTATCCTTAGAGGATTTTGTTGTGGTTATCAAGGTCTGCCAGGTGGCTTTTATGTAGCTGGGCAAGCTGGCTTTTTTCAGTTGTTTGCTTTCCTCTCCCTCTCCTCTAATATCATATTTTATGTAGTGGTATTCTGTACTTTTGAACTTGTCCCTGATTCACTTGCAGTAATATAATCAAAACCAAGATCTTACATTGCATTTTCACAACAAAATATTTTGAAAAGTGATTTCAGTATTGATATGTGCATTGAGCATTTTGTATCTTAGATCAAAATCTTTTGAGAAATGTTCTGTGATTTTTTGACACTTGATACACTCGTATGGAATGATTGGTTCTTTAGAGTTACCTCTGTATATGAGAGGGAGATTGTTAGATGAGATCAGAATCAAACTGGTACGAGCAAAGTTATCGATGTCTTCATACTCAGCAGATTTGTCAAAGGCTGCAGTACCACAATATAGAATAGAAATCCTTGTCTGTAAAGATTCTCAGAGCAGCCATGATAGAGATGAGCTCCTTACATTTTGAGACTGGGGACCTGCACACAGCTTCTGACCAATTGAGCCTCCTCCTCTGTTTGAGAGGAAAAAGCATCACAGGCATTTCAACTTGTTGGAACTGTTTGTGATACTGTATCAGAATATTTCTTGGTATTTTTCTGTGATTCAGCATGTTTGTAGTTGTTGATTTTGGATATTTTTTAACCCAAGGAAAATGATACCTATTCTCAGTGTTTCATATGAATTAGTTGTGGGAAACTTTGATTCTGACAGTTACGAAGAGAATGAAAGGTATGTGCTGAGTGGATGTCTGGATTCCTTTCTCTTAAAAAAATATTCCTGTAATTATGCCAATTCTCTCAGGTGCCCAAAGTGATTGTAAGACTTCGAATGCTGCTTCAGTGTTACTTAAATATATTTACAGACATTTAGTACAATAAATGAATTTATAGAATACTGCCTGTTACATTATGCGAGTGGCATAATACTTTCTAACCTATAATTGAGGATGGTAGGGAAGAACACTTTCAGCCCACTCTTACACTTCCATTACCACAGGTATGCACTTCAAATTAATTGACCTTCCCTAAATTACATTATTTTAGTATTTCTGTTTTTAGATTTTTCTTTCCTACATTTTTTGTTTCTTTGTAGTAATTGTAGCTCTTTACTGGAACTATGGGCATGTTTTAATTTAGTAATAATATGAAAGTTAAGAATCAGTTGTCTACATTTTTCCAGTTCTGATAGTTTCAGGTGCAACTCATGTTTGTAGGTATCAGCAGTACCTGTTACAGCCCACAAATGTCCTTTGCAGTGTGCTTTAACTGCACTCCATATGGATTCTTCATCAGAGAACACTGTTCAGCTTTCAATGCAGCAAATTAATTTCAGTAAAAATATAACAATGACCACATTTCTTTCATGATGGAAGTAGTTTTGGCATATGATAGCTAATGCGGACTTTGTCTGTCTTGTCATCCAGCTTGTCAGTTTTTCAAATGGTTTGGTGTGTCATCTGGATGTTGAAGTTGGTGAATTTCACAGACGGGAGGAATATTTAAAAGTTAGTGTGGTATATTTCTTGTGGAATTCTGTTTCTAATAATTTGGCTAATTAATCTTGGATTACAATTACTGTAGTAACAAAGCTTCAATTGTACTTAGCAGAGAGAACTGAGAAAATGAGCTTGTCCTGTTGTTTATTTTTTAAGCCAGTAGCAATGCAAAGCATAGAATACCATGCATACAGATGCAAACCTTTTACACCTCCTTTTTCCTTTCCCTGATTTTAAGTTTGAGAGCCTTACTTGAGACATCACAGGCTCCTTGCTGTCTTGTGGACTGAAGCCCCACTTTCCTTTGTGCTGTCTTTTCACACCCTTTTGTTTCAGGGATCGCCTGCAGCTCTCATCCCTCCTTATTCTGGAGGCTGTTGCTTGTGTCAGCTGCTTAGTTGTTCCCGGCAGTAGAGCCTTGGTGTTAGCCTATTTTCTACCTGCTCCATCCTCTCTTTTATCCCCCCACCCTTCTTTTAAATGATCCTTCTCCTGATTTTTGATTCAGCAGCTTTATGCGTAATCCTTCCAGGTACTGTTGTTGCCACTCAGACTGTTTTTTTTCTTACTGGTTTGGGTCCTTGAAGTTTTGTAGCACACCTTTTCCTTGTGACTGCTTGTTCCACTTTTTCCTATTAATATTTAAAATTTACCAGTAGCCTGATTATTTTTTTTTTACTGTTCAATACCATCAGACATGTTCATATATATGAGCTAGAAATCTGCCTTATGGAAGCAGCTACAGTAGGTGATGTCAGAGAGATTATTTCCCTGAAGCAGCAGTGTGTTGGGGGATCCAAATTTTCCCAAGAGGGTGATTTTGAATTCTCTGTCTTGCACCAAAATCCATAGCTCTTAGCACATTCCCTGATAAGCTCAGTTGTCTCATACCATTAGTTCTCAGGTTATCACATACCAGCCCCAAAAATGCTGTTGAATGAGGGTTAGACTTCTCTTTATATTTGATCTCTGAATTTGTTTTTCAAGATTAAACAGTCAGAGTATTACTTTTCCTTGCTTAGTTCTCCCTGAAGATTACTGCATGGTATTTTCTGCCAGCCTTAGATTTGCATGGGATCTGGAAAGGTCTGTACCATTATTGCTGGGTAGGGGGCTGGTTTATGATGGTGAAGATTGGGAT